GCAGGTCGCCCACGACGCGTTCGCGCCGTTCTGCTGCGAATCCTGGTTTGCGCAATAAAAACCAGCCGGCGACGTCGCCTCATTCTCGCGAAGCTGTTGAAGACCAGCCTCGAATCGAACGAGCCAGTCATTCACGCAATATCCTCTTATGCGGCGATGCTGCGCCGACTCGGAGAACTTCTCGAGCGCCCCCCCCCCTTCTGCGCCGGTTTTTGTTGTCCGAGGTTTGCCTCGAGATGCTTGAGCGCGTTTTCGGGCCCCTTCTGGTTTCGACATCGCGCCCTGTCGGCGGCATCCTCGATATCTTCTTCGGCAGGCGGATGTAAACCTTCCTCGGACAGATTGAGCGCGGGTGAACGCGCGACGCCTGTAAACTTGACGGCGAACGTTGACGCAAGGTGTTTTACCACGTCAAGATTTTCGCTGAGCTTCCGCAACTTCACTTCTAGTTTGTTTCCTCGCCACTTCGCGGGACCTCTATTCCAACTTGTCATAGCTGATTGATCGTAATTTTGTTCCGTCGTCTCTGCGCTGGAAGACGACATGAGAGAGTCGCTGATATCCGCAGCGAAACGAAACATGACCACTTCAATCATCAGCTTGCCGAGAGAGATGCCAGCGCTTGCCGGGTCGGAGCGCTGGCAGGCGGCGTCGCCGACGCTTGCGCGGCACTTGGCGTCGATGACGCTGTTCGCGAAGATAAGGTAGGGAATGTAGCTGCCGGCGCTTGCCGCGTAGGACAGCTGGTAGGTGGTGTCGCTGACAATCACGGACATGGCGCTGCTGATGCTACTCGCGAATATGAGGTAGGGGATGAAATCGTTGTCGGCGCCTGCCTGTGCGGAAAGCTGGCGTTCGGTGACGGCGTCGGTGGCAGTCGCGCTGGGCTCGGCGTCGCAGGCGCTGGAGATGTAGAGCACTGCGCAGCAGGGTCGGCGGACGGCGCTGGCCGTCGACTCCGTGGGCGGACGCGTCGCAGATGTCGTCGTGGAATATGGGCGGCCCGAAGGCCGGGGCAGTGGACCTCGCTCCGCTACCGCTGTAATATGGATGGGCGCGCGGCGCCAAGATATCTTTAACTCTCTCACGCGGAGGGGCGAAGCGTAGCTCTCAGGCCAGGCGTAGCTCTCAGGCTCTGAGCCCCTGCGCAGTGAACGTTGAACCGAGAAAGCAGCGGGAGTAAAGGTGAGAGCAGCAATAGCAAAGGCATGACAGGGCGGGGATCTCGGCCTTCGCGGGGCCTCTGGCGGTCTGGCAGGGCCCCCTCGGCCCCTTTTGCAGACCCTCGGGAGTGAGCTTGGATCACAGATGCGAGCACTCCAGTCGCGGGCCCGATTCTGCCAATCCGCCGCCCTTGCGGCCCGCTGGGAATTAGTGTGGTCACGGGGGGGCGATGAACGGGGGGCGAGTGGGGGCGACGCACGGGGGCGAAGAAACGTGCACCTTTCGTGCCCCTTGAAAGCGCCTGCGGTGCACGAGAGGTGCACCTTTCTCCACCCGCACGTTGATCGCAAAAACATTGCCCAACGCCCGACCAGGGCCTGATTCTTCTCATCCAGGTGCAACGCTCACGAGGTCCTGGATCCCCAAGTTGCCAGAAATCCACGGGTTTGTTATGATGCAGCTGGCCGGCTCTTCGTGGCAATCATCTCCTCTGGGGCCAAATTCGGACAAGCCAGTTGCAAAACTCACAAGGGCCAAGATCATCGTCAGAGCGTCACTCCCGAACATGATTCCGATCATGCTTCGAAGTGCCAGAAATTCACGTTTGCGGATAGTGCTGACCATATAGGCCCGACCCGCCAGCGTTTGGTGCTGCTTTTGGGCCTGATCCCCCGCTCAATCTCAAACTCCAGCCCAACTCCAGCTTCACGCAAGTTTCGGCCCCATCCCCAGTACCTCCAGTTCGATGTATAGCTCCATCTGGGTTCCTTTCCAGCTGGGGCTCAATATTCAGTTTTAGTTCCACCCTCCAGCCCCATCTCCAATCCCGACACTGGCGTCAGGTCCAGGTCGAGCGGAGCTCCTGCCCAACTCAAGCTGGAGACCTAGCGCATGATGGTTTAGCTTTTGGAGCATCGGAGGCTCCACGAGAACCTCCGATGCTCCAAGATGGCTCGAGATAGCTGGGAGTTGGAGGTGGTGCAAGACAACTGCCGACATGCCGCCAAGAGGGTCCAAGAGGGCCACACCACAGTTTCAAGTTGTTTCGGATACCCCTCAAGACCCCCGAAAAGCAGAATATCCGTCAAAACCTATAAAGGGACATCAATGCGCCTCTGAAGCCGCAAGATGGCCCCACGTTGGCCCAAGAGAGCCCCAAAAAGGACCCAATAGGCCCCCCAGACGACTCCAAAGGCGCCCCAAAGAGTGCCCCACGAGTGTCCGAAGAGGGCCCCAAGAGATGGTATCGAGGACCCCAGAAAATGAACCTAGATTGGGGGCGCCCCCCTCTTTGATCGATGGTATCCATGATGTCCCCAAAAGGGCTCCAAGATCCCAAGAGAGCCCCAAAAGGGGCCCCAAAAAGGCCCTAAAGACCAAACAAACAAACCCAATATCCCACAACGGACATTCAATATTGCTCCAATGGGGGCCCCGGGAAAGCAACAAGAGGACCACCGGGAGACCCCCAGATGGCTGCCAGAGTCTTCGTCCTCATCCTCCTCCTCGTCGTCCGCCTCGTCCTCGTTTTCCTCTCCTCCTCCTCGTCTTCCTACTCGTCATCCGTTTCGTCCTCGTCCTCTTCCCCGTCCTCCTGCTCGTCCTTTCCCTCGTCGTCCTTCTCGTCCGTGTCCTCCTCTTCCTCGTTGTCCTCCTCCTCCTCCCTCGTCCTTTCGTCGTCGTCCACTTTCTCCTACTCAGCCCTCCTCCTCCGCATCCTCAATTCACCATGGCTGCCCGCTTGGATTCCATGTATATGTCTCTTCCTTCCATTTCCCGTCAGCACTAATGGGCAACGTTTCTGAATGGGCTGGTGGGGATACTTTCTGATCGCGACCGTAGCGGCACATCACACGGCGTCAAGCTGGTGGGGATATTTGTTGGTCAACAGGCTCGCGAGGCCGGTCGAAAACCGTCCGAACACTAGTCGGGCCGCGACTAGGCAGCAGGAGAAGAAAGTCAAGCGAAGCGAGCGAGCGGGCAGCCACTCAGAAGGAGAGCCAGAACCGAAACTCCCAAACCCAGTGGCGTTGGAAATCCCGGTGGCGACCAGCAAGTAACCACAGCCAAAATGGCGCGGCGGCGCGACCATAAACACGCAGAGGTCGATCGTTCGGTGCAAGTCAGAGGAAATTTCTGCTGTTCGCGCTGGAAGGGCGGACGTGCTCAAGAAACTGGGCCAGCTTTCTGGCAGGTTGGGTAAGAATCGGTGGCCCAAATTTTCGGGAGAAGGTCATCTAATCATATGCTCAACCATACTTAGGGTATTTCGCGGGGCCGTTGTCGCTCCCTGCCGTCCCGCCTCCGCCGTCTTCCTTCAAAAGGTGCCGATACCGCTACTCCCTTGACCTCTCCTGGGGTGCGTTCGGACCATAAAAAAGAATCGAATCCAGCGGTGGCGCCGAGGGCATCCGAGGTGACCAACAAAAAGGGAACACGAGGCACAGGTAGCGGTATCGGCATTTTTGTAAGACGGAGCCAGGAAGAGGATAAACTCGGACGAAGATGAATCGAGAATCTCTGAGATCCCGCGGCTCTGGAGGATGTACCAGGCGCTGCGGCTTTCTCAGAGCATCCCCGAACGCTCTGAGAGCGTTCCCGAACGCTCTGGAACGGATGTATCTTCGTCCTAGCCCTGCCCGGCTTTGCGTAAGACGATCGCCAGGAGGCTGCGTTTCTTCAGAATTCTGCGAAAGACGCGGCCAGGTCGAAGGTACATTCGGGTGAGGGTAACTCGGGAATTTCTGAGATCTGGCGTCTCTGGAAGATGCATCGGGTGCCGCGGTCTTCCCAGGGCGTTCCAGAACGGCCCGAGAGCGCCCTGGCAAGCTTTCGAACGATTTGTTCCACGTCCTAGCCCCGTCAAGTTGCATGGAGGGCGGAGGGGGCGGGGCGTGGCGATGGCGGGAAAAGGAAGCTCGACTTCACGCAAACCACGACTCACTTCCACGCCACTTCGGCCCAACATTGCCTCTGCGGCGGGGAGGCGAGGGAATCGGGGGGACTGCCATGCAAAACAAATTTCCCGAATCTGGAATCAAACGCTCTCCTGCTGCTTCATAACACCGGCTGCCGCCTGCTGGCGTCCCTGATAATACCACTTGCAGGGATCAGCCAGCCGAAATCGGAAACGGAAAGCATGGGACCTGGAAGGAACGGGTCCTGGGTTCCAGGGCATCAACCCGGGACCAGCTGTTCACCCCGGTCGTTCTATTTCACATGGCGCTCGTGGAGGCCCCAGGGGGGAGTCAAACACCGGAAGAAACACCTCAGGACCCGCTTCCCTCGGGGCCCTTCTCCAGACCAACCCGAGACGCATCCCTACCCTCATGGGTGGCATCACCTAATCTCAGTGCCGATTCCTCACGGAACCCCCCACTTTCAAAGGGCAAGTATCCAATATTGTGTTCGCCTTGGGTTTGTCGCTCTTTAGTGACGGAGGACGTTCGGGGGGCCCGGAACCGAGACCGGCGGGGACGATCGCGCTTGAATCGGCGACACATCGCCGATGCATCGATAGCAAAACCGCACGCTCCTGAGATGGGCGGGATATTGGTTCCCCCCCAACGTTGCCCGCGTGGTTTTTGGGTCATACCTCGGCTCCCCAGCGGCCGCCCAGGAAGATCCACGCACCCCCGGGACGCTCTCGGCGAGGTGCAGCCGCCAGAAGGCAGCCCGCGACCAGAAGACAGCCGAGAAGCAACGGAAATGCCTGAAAACATCGAACCTCGAACCCCCCCCGACGTTGCCCCAGGCTTAGGGATGCGAAGGAACTTGCCGCGCGCTGGCCGGCGCACTCGGCCAGCGGCCGCGGGCGCGCAAAGGCAACGGCCGGCCTGTGGGCCCTGTTGGCCATCGGCTCGGCGGACAACCCCGACATGGCGGACTCCTCGCAGCAGCGACGCGCACCGAAACCAGCGATCGTCCATCGTTTCCCTCCGACCCCTCCTCCTTGCCTCCTCCTCCTCCTCCTTCTCCTCCTCGTCCTCGCACGCCTGTCCTTGTCCTCCACCTCCTCGTCTTCCTCGTCCTCGTCCTCGTCCTCGTCCTCGTCCTCGTCCTCCTCCTCCTCCTCCTCCTCCTCCTCCTCCTACACATCCTTCCCCTCTCCAATTCCTCCTCGCCCTCGATTTCCTCCTCGGCGCATCTTCGAACGAGCGGGCGAGAACCTGACTGGAGGAAAAAACGGAGAAAGGAAAATGTAGAGAAAAATTTAACCAATCCGTCTACTGCAGGTTCGTGTCGTGCCGACCCCAGCGTTGGTTTTTGACACCGCAGGGATCGTTCAACCTTCAACGATCGGCCGCTGCCGCAACGTCCGATCGTTCAACATCGATCGATTCTGGGTCGCCCGCGGCGTTCAACCTTGAACGCCCGCGCTGGGGTCGCCGCTGGTCGACACGACGCAAACCTACCGTACCGCAGACCTCTCGGCCTTTTTCCCATGGGGTCCACGGGACTGGATTTTCATTCGGGCTCGTCATCCGATGAGCTGGCGGTCGGAAGCAGGACTTCCCGGGGGGGCCGTGACCTTTTCGAGACGTTCGGGGCGCTCGCCCCTGCGGGGGGCGGAGGACAATTAAGAAAAAGTCGCGAATTTCGAAGAGAAGGGGGAGGAGCGCCACCCGACTAGGGAAGGGATGGGGGCCCGCATGAGTCCTGCATAAACGCCGGCGACAACGTAGCGCCCGCCCGCGGGCATCGACCGCCTCGCGGAGATGCCTGGCGCCTCTGTTGCCTGTGGCTCTAAAGTAGTTGGAAGCTTTGAACGAAAGATCGATCGCGCGGGCATGAGTTGAAATCGAATTCGGAGAATCAACATTCCATCGATCAGGGAGCATCGCTTCGAATGGATCCACACACCCCACTGTGGGGGAGGAAAGAAAAGGAATTAAGAGGTGGCACGAAAGGGGGCAGGAAGCGTAGTGAAGCAGAGCGTCCCCTCCTACAGCGTAGCATCCCCAAACGAAAGTGCAGATCCCTTGTCGGAATTGACGGGTTGTGGGCCATGCGTTGAACAAAACTTTCACCAGCGACATCAGACTAACAAAAACTCAGGGAGACCTTTTTTTGAACGAGTCCAAATCGGAGGAGACAAAGATCAGCATCACTGGGATTCACACGACCAGTTCAAGGCGCAGATCTGTCACCGATGAGTTCAAAACCAGGAGGACAGGGAACGCGACGAAGACGAAACTGGTAAGCACGAGACTGGGGTAGCTTAGGAGGTACATCCACAGGGGCATGGGGAAGGGCAAAGACAATCAGGCGAAGAAAGCATCAGGATGGAACCGGTTGCGGATGCAGTCCCACGTCACTTGGCTACTGCGCCAGAATTCCGTCAGATTCTCTGTACACTTATCCAGGGCACATGAACGGATAGCCAAACGGACAACAGCGGACCTGGCAGAGACTGAAAAAGGACCTAGATTAAACATCGAAATACAATGACTTAAGATGTGACAACTTGGTGCGCCTCTTGCTCCGCCTTCCGAATTTCCTTCGGCAGCTGACAAAAACGTGGGCCACATGGCCGACCACTGGCAGAGTGCACCTGTTCTAGGCCGCCGCTCAAGGTACAAAACACCTTGAAGCCAGGCCCGCGGCGATTTCCGCCAGCTGTAAGTGGCTGGCAGAAGACTGGGGAAGCACGCAGATATCACGTGCCACCATATCCACAACAGCAGTAAAACACACGGCACAAGCTCGTTGCGGCTCTTCTGGGCCACTATAAGTTCTAGAGCTGGACTGAGAACCAGGGCGGACAGGGCTCATGAGAGCGGGCGCCCCTGCTTCATATTCCTGCGGTTCCAAGACCTACAGGAAAGCTTCCGACAACACCTATGGAAGTCCAGACGTTCAGATGAAGCGCTAAACTAGCTGTCACAACGCACTCAGGGAAATCTACCTTCCCCAGGACAGCGACGATCCAGATGTGGTGGGTGTTGGGAAAGGCGTGCTGAAAAATGGAAAAGAGCACCCCCGGTGGGGTTGGCGAGGGAGGCGGGGAAGATCAGATTGTCGGCGTTGGACAGGGGAAGCATTCCCGCCGTCGCCGTCTCGCGCACTCCTGGCCCTGCAGCAGCGAGGCCGCCGTTCGGCAGAGATGCAGCGCGGCAATAATTAGATCCGGCCGAGGTCCCACGCTCAGACTGAAGGGAAACTGGGACACACAAATAAATACACACAAATAAAATTATTCCCCATATTTTCCCATATTTTCTGGGTTTTTGTCTTCACCCCCATTTCCCATATTTTCCCATATTTTCTGGGAATCGCAGATTAATTGTGTCTGTGTGTTTTTTCCCCTCCTGACAGACACCAGGCGCCTGCACGCAACGCGCAACAACGCGTGGGCCCACCCGGGGGCCAGACGCCAAACCGAACGCGGGATCCCGTCGGGGCAGGGGCGGCGCCCCCCCCCCCCCCACCCCACCAAAGAGCTGCATCATCGAGTCGAGACTAGAAGCCCCGTCTGTGCGCTGGTGACTGGCAGAGGCAAGCTGGACGACCTGATCCTCGAGCGGGGTCGCCTGGGCGAGGAAGTGGGGCAGGGGCCTGTCAGCAACTGGAGGAAATCTGGAGCTTGAACCGGGGGGGGGGCCAGAACTTTGCAGCACCTCTGAGGCCCAAGTTTCCATGATGCACCGCTGGGGGAGGGCGTTGCGCTGGCGGCGGCCGAGCCAGCCGATCCAACTAGACTCCTGGGCAACATAACAAAGAGCCAGCGGCGAGTAGGCGCAGACCGCCAACTTGGCAGGCTCGAAGTTCTTAATGCAGACGCAGCGGAGCAGGCGCAGACTGATGAGTACGTTCCAATAGTCATCGTCCGCGCCGCCGCGCATCGCGTACCATGCCGCGTTCTTCGCCGCGTAATGGAACACATATTTAGACTCCTTGGGGCGCACAAGCGAATCCTTGGAGAAGTCCTCGGGGCAGAACTGGTCACGTACCTGCGTGAATATTGGACGCCTTGCGGTCCGCGGCGTAATAGCTAAAGACTAGGGCCCCTCGTCCTTGGACACAGAAAGCGAGATGTGGACCGGGGCATGGTAAGACGGACGCTTCAGCTTTGTGACCGGCCACGAGGTCAACGAGTTATGGGGCGAACCCGAAGAGGATGGAACTGGAGATGCAAGTGCAGATGGGATCAACGCGGGCGAAGCTCGGATTGATTGCCACGTTAGGACAATGTGTCACGTGAGGCCATTCGATGTCCAAATGGGGTGTGCAGAACTGGTCAAACATACCAACTCGTCGAGCTCTCATGACGAAATGAATGGCGGGCAGTGAACAATGCATAGTGTGAGCCTCCGTTTTCAAGACAAGCGGGATTTCCAACACTGAACATCGATGCGAAAAGGCGAGGGGGGGAGGGGGGAACGGACCGCAGCAACTTGAAGGCGTCCTTCGCGACGGCCTCTTCCACTCAGGGTCGACGTGGGCGCTGGCTGCCCGCAACACCTGGGACGCGCCCCCCATGGTAAGCACCGCCATTCTGCCGGGCGCAGGAGATGCAAACTCGAATTTCACGAGCTGACAAGCTAATGCTTCTTGACGAGGGCCTCTGTTCAGAAGCCGATGCCAGAATCTCGGAACGCCCCCCACGTGCGCGCATCCTTGATATCGCCCAGAAGCATCAGGATGTCGGCCGGCCCCCCATATGCTATTCCTAGAAACGCGAAACGCAGTGCTTGGCGGGGGTGCATCCGAGGGCGGAGAACTGAGTCTGACCTCGCTGGCTACTAATGCACTGAGAGCAGAAAAAGAGCCTGGGCGTTCCAGCTGCAAATGGAGAGAGGGGGTGGCAGACAACGGCAGGAAGAGAGAGGGAGGGGCAGGGACAGGAGGAGGGCGACTGCGGCGAAAGGAACGGCGCCAGAACGCACTAGGGGCCCACTGGCCTGGGACCCCCCCCCCCCCCCCAGGGTCGAACTCGAGCGAAACGTGAGACGCGCAGGCAGGCGGCAGCGAATCAGATGAACGCGGAGGCGGCTGCCCCGATGTCGGCGCGGTCCCCGAAATCGCCCCCGATCTCGCTGCCGCTTGCTCCGAAGTCGCTTCCTAGGCGCGCAAGGCGCGGTGGATCTTGTCGTGGGTCTCTTCCAAGACCTTGTGCCACGCGGGCCCCAGGATTCGCAATCGACCAAGTTCGGCTCGGAAGTGTAGCTGTCGTTGCCGCCCCAGAGGGCTGTCTGCTCATTGGTGGCAAGGTGCAGCAGTCGTCGGCGGTCGTCAGGCAGAGGACTCCTCTGACCCCGTCGACTCCTGGGCGGCATAAATCACCCCATCGTTCTGAACGGGCATGCAATCTCCCCACCGGCGCCCATAGCGCGTGGAATGCCCGCTTGGTCTGTCTGACGTCCGCAGGATGATTGGGGCGAGCTCTGCATGCGCATTTTAACCGTCGCTCAGGTCGATCCAGGTTGCGCCGGCGTGCTCGCAATCGTCGGCGAAGGCCCTGTCGCCGCATACTAGAACTCGAGGCTGCACGTCTGGCTGGCGCCGTGGAACTCGGGCGTGGCGCCGCCCGACATGTGCCGCGGGAAGCTCGCTCGGAGCTGGCGCTAGCGGACCTGGCGCGCTACCTTCAGAACTGGACGAGGTAAGGCGCCAATGAACTTGATGCAGCCGGACGTATCGGGGGATCGCAGCGTGGCCGCGTCGCCTCTGTCCTCTCTCTGAAACATTCACCGATGCAGAGGTGTGACCCGCCGAACTGCCATTCGACGAAGTAGCCGATGAGCGAGGCGCAGTCGACGCAGTAGTCTGCAGCGCGTACAACTCAACTCGCAAGGCGGTGTGTTTCTCCGTGGAAGTCCATCTAGGCGATGATCTGCCTGGGCAATGGATGCGTGCAGGTGGGATTGCGGTGCTCTGCTGCTGGAT